GGTGCACGGGGGGGGGGGGGGGGGGGGGGGTGCGGGAGGGGGGAGTTACACTGCGCAACAGATTTGCCCGAGAGGGACAAACCTCAAACCTCCCCCGCCTGGAACAGCCGGGCTTGTTCCTACCGACACCCGGGAAGCTGTGGGGGCGCGGGCCGCGGGACCGGCAGTTTGCGGTGCTGGGGAGGCGGAGAGAGGGTGCGGGGGTAATTCTACTCTCTCCCGTCTCGAACGAGTGGGATGCGGGGGGAGCGGGAGGCGCGGGGGACACACGGCCAGCACAGCCCCGTCCTCCCCCCGGCAGCCGGGCACGTGGACCGGGAACAGCGCGGCCATCCACCATGCAGCGCACGTCGGGCCCATTTCCCACGCCGGCCGCCTGCCCTGGGGGAGGAGGAGAGGAGGGGAGGAGGGGAGGGAGGAAGGGAGAATGATAGGAAAGGGGGGGCCGTTACCTCTGCTCCGAAAGAGGAACCAATCCACTGTGAAGGACGCAGCACTCCCGAGCAGGAAAGACATTGCACATTCAGAGGGAGATTGCATGTGAAGACACTGCAAAAAAGAAGGAAGGGGGGGGGGGGGGGAATGTGCTTAGANGGGGGGGGGGACTGGGGGGCGCAGACCGCATGTGAAAGGCATAGTGTGTGTAAGAGAGGCCAGCGAGGGTAGGAAAGGAAGGGGGAGCAATTGCACATGGCAAGAGAAAGAAATCACTCATTCGCTTGAAAGAGGCACTCGCAAGGAGACCGTAGTAGAAACAACGGGGAAGGAGACACAGGCAAGAAGGCGAGCGTCCATGCCGTGCAACAGCCTGGAATCCGATTAAAGTTTATGGCGGGGAGGTTAAAAACGCGCTCATCCCGCCCCTTCCCTGGCGAATACATTAAGTTTCCTGGCCGCGTTTAAAAACACAAAGGGACGGGAACAGCGGGACCAGCGGTTCGCAGTTGTATTTCCAGTGCAGGGAGCCAGTGTAATGCAGTATGCTGGTATTCCTACGTACTGACATGTCTGGATCTTACACAAAATTTCCTCCTCACGGAGCTCCAGAACAGCGAGGGGGAATTTTGACAAATTCAAGTTGCTTGGCAAATATAATAGGGATTTGGTACTAATCCTACTTAACCCGCTGCGAAGATGCTGCGCTCCCGAACCCCCCTCCTCCGTCCGGGACTGCGGCGGTGAGCACTGAGCCTGCGCCGAGCTGGGCTTTCTCGCTGATGCTGCAGATAGAAAGCCGAGTGTCTCCAGCGCCGGCGGGGGAGGGTTTTCGTGTTCTGGCGAGGCAGAGCTGCCGGGGCCGGTGCCAGGGCCGGAGGAGGCGCCGGAGGAGCAGCCCTGCAGCCCTCCGGAGAAGGGAGCATTCCCTCCCTTCCCAGCGCCGACTCCATGCGGCGGGGCTCTGCCCCTCTGTGTCTCTGGACTCCTCAAGGAAAGAGGTGGCAACCTTCCCTCCCTCCTACAATCACTCACCGCCCCAAATGACAAAGACACGCTGTGACCGTTGCTTTGAACCACCTCAACATATCCGGCCGCTTTTCGCTTAAATATATCGTCGCGATGAAAGAGACATTTCGCTATATTGGTCTGCATGCGTTTTTATTCAAAAGAGCCATATATATCGAGGAATGCACACAAAAACACATACAGAACGCGCACATACAGAACTTGCTTTGCCACATGTGTTCACAGAGGGAGAAAGAGCAGCTGGATTCCTGCCTTCCCCTGGCTGCGCGCAGGCACACAGGCGCACACACATGTACCCGCACACATGTACCCGCACACACAGACCCGCACACACGCGCACGTACACACCCGCACACGCTCATTCTCTCCCCACTGGCTGCCCCGCGCTCGCCTGCCCCCGGAGTCTCCCTCTTTTCCCTCCGGGCTCCGAGCAGAGAGGACAGGTAAGGAGCCAGGCATCAGCAAGGGTAGGGCGGGAGCACACAAAAGCCATACGCGATTAAATGGCTCAAAGTCAAAAGGAGACGCGAACTAGAGACGTCAGAATAAGCAAAGTTGAGCCGAGAGCTTTACCATTAAAGTTTATTTCCCACTTACCCAGATAGGTGACGCTACATTTTAGCAATCATCGAAGCAGCAAGTCTGTGTTCGGAAATAAATCTGTTACTTCTTACATGTGTTTATTCTACTAACCCTCTCGCTCCCTTCCTGATCATCTTCTCCGAGGGTTTTTTTCTTGGTGGTGTTTTTGTTTTTTTTTCTCCTAGGATACCCACAAACATGCTGAAAAGACACATTCAAAACATGGTAATAGGAAGAACACAATCACAAAGACAGAGAGGCTGAAACAGCACTGGGAAACAGGACGAAAGTCTGAGATCTAAGGCAGTGCCCCTTTCTCCCTGGAGTTTTATGCAGTTACAGTGACTGCAGCTATTTCACAAAAGCACCGACACAACAGGGGAAGGTGGGAGTCTGCGAAACGAGTTTCCTTACCAGCTTGATTCCGCAAAATGCAGAACAGAAGAAAAGAAGGGCGAACAAATATTTGCTTTAAAAATCGTTGCTCGATTCACAGTCTATAGCGGACGTGGGGAGGGAAGGGGTAGGAGAAAATCACTACAGATCAAGGGTTTGAGAAAGCAACAGAAGCAACACTCGGGCGTGAAATGAGGATCGGTTTTGAAGACTGAACTGGTGTTTTGTGATGAGCAGCTATCCCACTTGCAGCACTAGCAGCAGAGACAGAGGGTAAGACTGAGCTTTCTGGAGTGCAGCGCTTGACTCGTCCTCCCTCCTCCTCCTCCCTCCCTCCCTCCCTCAAATGTAAACAGCTTCTCTTTCTCTCTCTCCCTCTCTTTCTGTGTGTATGTAGCGCAGGCGGCTCTGCTGCTGCAGCGTCAGGGAAGAGCTACCGAGAGAGGCTTCAGCAGCTCCCTCCACTTTGGGCAAACTTGCCGGTTTACCGCTTCTTCTCCTTTTTTTTTTTTTTTTTTTTTTTTTCTCTTACGAGTGGGAAGCTTCTCAATTGCCATTCAACATTTTAAAGCACAAGCCGCTCTGCCGTGAAAGCGTCTGATCCACACTTCTCTGAAAGACACAGGAGGGAATACACAATTGCAGATTTCACCCACTGTGGCGGTGCAGATCACAGGAAACAACTGACTGATACAATTTTATTTGCAAATAGAACTCTGTATTTTTTTTAATCGCGTCGCGGCTCTTTTCCCCTCCCCTTTGCCATTCCGCTTTATATGGATGTAATTCAGAATCTGTGTTAATTCACATGGGGGATCCAGTTACATCTTGTTCCGCTCCGGGTATAATTACGAGAGACCAATAATCGCCTTTGGACACATAGTTTTGTTGCTAACCTTTGAACTGAAAGGATCAAGTTCAGATCTGGTTACCTGCATTGGGACGGGAAGGAAGAGGAGAGAGAGAGAGAGAGAGAGAAAGAGAGAGAGAGAGACTGCAATCTCATTTGTGAATCGCTCTCAGTGCTGCAGATCCAGATTGCTTTAACACATGCAGTGCAAATGCAGGTAAGGCACACACACAAACTGCGGATGCAAAAACAAACTTGGGACTGTTGTGTGTCTATGTTCTTATCTCCAGCCTTGCAAATTCTGGGCAAACGGCTTCTGCAGTTTCTGTATCGTTGCTTTGTGACTAATGACCTTGCGCAGAGTTGTTAAAAAAAATCCGCTCCGGAGAAAGAGCTGAACATTTTAGGCGATCTCTGAAGATGGATTTGGGTGCTTTTCTGCCAGCCAAAGGGAATATTCTGTGGACTGCACTGTAATACTCGGGGTTCTCCTGTCAGCTGTGCAGATACCGACATTATTGGGATTTTTTTTTTTACTTTTTTTTTTTTTTTTTTTTTTTTTTTTAAGACCGCTATTGCTAAGAGGATTTGGAGTTTTCCCGGACCCAAGCCCTTTGAATAAAGCAAATCACAATTTTTTCCCCTGTGTGTGCAGAGAGGGGGAAGAATAAAGCTATTGCCTTGGTCGTAAACGGCTGAGAGGGAGAGGGAGAGAGAGAGAGAGAGAGAGAGAAAAGAGAGAGAGTGTGTGAATTGTAGTTAACTCTAGTGTTGAAGACGACAACCTGGGGGGCTTCGAATCGTACAGTACTGCTCCTGCTTTTATTGCAAACCTTGCAAAGTGATTACAGTAAAATCAGAGAGGAGGAGGAGAAGGGGGAGGAGGAGGAAAATCCCATCCTATCTGCTGAGATGAATCTTTAAAAAGCAAAATCCACTGTCCCATGAACTGTAAGTATATCGCAACTGGAAGGCAGGGAGAGCAGCGGAGGAGCCAGCAGCAGGGTTTTGACCACCAATTGCACCAGTCATGAGACAATAAGTTTCCAGAAATAGAGGATTTTATAATTGATCACCTGGACTCTCAGCCGCACTGTTGGCTTATCAGGGGAGTTTATTGGGGGGCAGGCGGGAGTGAGAGGAGGGCGGAGGGTTTCGGTACGAGGAAGATGAGGAAGATGCGGACCTTCCTTCGCTTTGTGCATTGCTACTGCTGCTGCTTCTTACTCGTCCTGCCTCCGCCGCTCTGGGTCAGCCTCGCAGCGGCTAAGCAGCTCCTGAAGTACCGGCTGGCCGAGGAGGGACCCGCCGACATCCGCATCGGCAACGTGGCTTCCGACTTGGGGATCGTGACAGGCTCCGGAGAGGTGACATTCAGCCTGGAGTCGGGCTCCGACTATCTCAAGATCGATAACATGACCGGGGAGCTGAGCACCACAGAGCGGCGCATCGACCGCGAAAAGCTGCCGCAGTGCCAGATGATCTTCGACGAGAACGAGTGCTTCTTGGACTTCGAGGTGTCGGTCATCGGCCCCTCGCAGAGCTGGGTGGACCTCTTCGAGGGCCGGGTCATCATCCTGGACATCAACGACAACACCCCCACCTTCCCTTCCCCCGTCCTCACGCTCACCGTGGAGGAGAACCGGCCCGTGGGGACCCTCTACCTGCTCCCCACCGCCACCGACAGGGACTTCGGCCGCAACGGCATCGAGCGCTACGAGCTGCTGCAGGAGCCCGGCGGGGACGGCGGCCGGCGCGGCGGCGGGGGCGGCTCGGCCGCGGCGGCCCCGGAGAGCGCCCCCTTCCCCGGCGGCAGCAAGCGGCGGCAGGAGGCGGAGGCGGCGGCCCGCAGCAGCGTCTTCGAGCTGCAGGTGGCCGACACCCTGGACGGGGAGAAGCAGCCGCAGCTGATCGTCAAGGGGGCGCTGGACCGGGAGCAGCGGGACTCCTACGAGCTCAGCCTCCGCGTGCGGGACGGCGGCGACCCTGCACGGTCCTCGCAGGCCATCCTGAGGGTGCTGATCACCGACGTGAACGACAACAGCCCCCGCTTCGAGAAGAGCGTCTATGAGGCGGACCTGGCGGAGAACAGCAGCCCGGGGACCCCGATCCTCCAGCTGCGAGCCACCGACCTGGACGTGGGAGTGAATGGACAGATCGAGTACGTCTTCGGGGCGGCCACTGAGTCCGTCAGGCGCCTACTGCGGCTGGACGAGAACTCGGGCTGGCTCAGCGTCTTGCACCGCATCGACCGGGAAGAGGTGAACCAGCTTCGCTTCACTGTCATGGCCCGAGACCGGGGCCAGCCCCCCAAGACAGACAAGGCCACTGTCGTGCTGAACATCCGGGATGAAAATGACAACGTGCCCACTATCGACATCCGGAAAATCGGGCGCATCCCGCTCCGGGACGGGGTGGCAAGTGTGGCCGAGGATGTGCTGGTGGATACCCCCATTGCCTTGGTGCAGGTGTCAGACCGGGACCAAGGTGAAAATGGTGTGGTGACTTGCACCGTGGTGGGCGATGTGCCCTTCCAGCTCAAACCAGCCAGTGAGGGCGAAGGGGAGCCACAGAATAAGCGCAAGTATTTCCTCCACACCTCGGCCCCTCTGGATTATGAAGCTGTGCGTGACTACAACGTGGTGATTGTGGCTGTGGACTCAGGCAGCCCCAGCTTGTCCAGCAACAACTCCTTGCTGGTGCGGGTTGGGGACACTAATGATAACCCTCCCATGTTCAGCCAGGCTGTGCTGGAGGTCTCCTTTCCAGAGAACAACTTGCCTGGTGAGAGGGTGGCCACAGTGGTTGCCACAGATGCAGACAGTGGCAAGAATGCTGAGATCACCTATTCCTTGGAGGCCTCACCCCTCTCCTCAGAGGCACCAGGCAGCATCTTCAGCATTGACCCTGACTCTGGGGATGTGTCAGTGCAGGCAGTGCTGGACCGTGAGCAACGGGACACCTATGAATTTCAGGTGACGGCCCGGGACAAGGGGGTGCCATCGCTGCAGGGCTCTACCACAGTGGTGGTGCGAGTGTCAGACCGCAATGACAATGAGCCGCGCTTCATGCAGGATGTGTTCACCTTCTATGTGAAAGAAAACCTGCAGCCCAACAGCCCCGTGGGCATGGTGACTGTGATGGACTTTGACAAGGGCCGCAACGCTGAGCTCAGCCTCTCCATTCAGCCTGGAGACCATGAACAGGCAGCCGGCATCTTCTCCATCGAGAATGACACTGGAACCATTTTCTCCACTGTCTCTTTTGACCGTGAGCAGCAGACCAGCTACACCTTTAAGGTGAAGGCAGTGGACGGGGGTGAGCCACCACGGTCTGCCACAGCCACCGTGTCTCTCTTTGTAATGGATGAGAACGACAATGCACCCACTGTCACCTTCCCCAGCAACAGCTCCTACACTGTGCTGCCACCCTCCAGCAACATGCGCACCGTGGTGGCCACAGTGGTCGCCACTGATGCTGACACCGGTCTCAACGCTGACCTCAATTACAGCATTGTTGGGGGCAACCCATTCAAACTCTTTGAAATAGACCCGGCCAGTGGTGTGGTGTCACTGGTGGGCAAGTTGGCCCCCAAGCACTATGGCCTGCACCGCCTGGTTGTGCAGGTGAATGACAGTGGGCAGCCACCCCAGTCCACCACTGCCCTGCTCCATGTCTTTGTCAATGAGAGCCTGTCCAATGCCACTGTGGTGGAGAGCCAGGTGGCCCGCAGCCTTCACACCCCACTGGCCCAGGACATTGCTGGTGATCCCAGCTATGAGCTGAGCAAGCAGCGGCTTAGCATAGTCATTGGTGTGGTGGCTGGCATCATGACCGTCATCCTTCTTATCCTCGTGGTGGTCATGGCCCGCTACTGCCGATCCAAGGGCAAGCATGGCTACGAGGCCGGCAAGAAGGACCATGAGGATTTCTTCACCCCCCAGCAGCACGACAAGGCCAAGAAGCCCAAGAAGGACAAGAAAGGCAAGAAGGGCAAGCAGCCCCTCTACAGCAGCATTGTTACTGTTGAGGCTTCCAAGCCCAATGGGCAGCGCTATGACAGTGTGAACGAGAAGCTCTCGGACAGCCCTGGCATGGGCCGATATCGCTCAGTCAATGGTGGCCCAGGCAGCCCTGACCTGGCCAGGCACTACAAGTCGAGCTCACCGCTGCCCACTGTCCAGCTGCACCCACAGTCCCCCACTGCTGGCAAAAAGCACCAGGCCGTGCAGGACCTGCCCCCAGCAAACACCTTCGTGGGCGCTGGTGACAACATCTCCATCGGCTCGGACCATTGCTCCGAGTACAGCTGCCAGGCCAGCAGCAAGTACAGCAAGCAGGTAAGAGCGCTGCGCCCCGCGGGCCCCAGCACGCAGACACACGCACACAGAGCGGGTGAGCGAGCCGGCATGGCCGTCCCCCCGCCTCCCACACTGGCACAGGCACACTCCCTGTCAAGGTTCAGTGACCCGTTCAGTCTGGTGCCCCCGCCCCCCTCGCTCCAGGCAGGCAGTCAGGTGCACAGACCAACACACAGCATGAAGGAAGGGCAGTCAGACATCTTTATTGCTATTACTATAGTTTTTATCATTGCCTCCGCTTATCAGATCCGGCAGCCGACCAGCCCGTCCGTGCAGCCGGCGCTGCCCCAGGCAGCCGGCCGCGGAGGCCGGGGGTCTGTCTCCAGTCCCGGAGAAACTGTGAGGCAGCCTGAGATGCCTTTGTCAGCCGCGCGCCCGGAGGCCAAACCCGGCGGTTTTGGGGGTGTCGAGGGGAGATCAGGACCCCCCACCAGGCGGAGCCGCCATCCCCCTCCCGTTCCCCGGCCCCGCCTCCATCAGCCCGTCCCGGCGCTTCCCCCGCCGTGATGCTTTCCCAGCCTTAGGGATGTGTCAGCTCCGGCTGAGGAGGAAAGTTTCGCCTGGGCAGCCAGTTGTTTCGGGGAAAGGGGGTTGCTGCCTGCCTGATGCTTCCTAAAGCTGTGGGTGAGAGTGGATTTGCAGCCGCAGCGCTGAAGCGTTAATGGCTGTAATTACCGGGCCTTTCATTAGGACCAAAAGGCTTAAATAATCTACACAGCCTATCTATGCTCTAATTTACACCACAGAGATTTGCACTCATTGCAGCAGTTGCTCTGAATACGCATAAGCGTTAGTTTAGAATCGCACCTCAGTATGTTATGTTCTCATTGCTTTTTTTTTTTTTTTTTTTTTTTTTATGCCCCTCTTGCCTATTTAATGAAATTTCATTCACGCTGAGAGGCCCTAATTTGCTCGCCCAGCTGCTGCATAGCTCTGTTTGTAGTCGTGAGACCTCTCGGAGCGAAACGTGCCTTCAGGGGTGCCACGAGTGGCTGGCTCTGGTCTCGACTGTGTTGCCAGGGCTCGGTTCGGTGAAGCTCCGATAGCCTAAAAGTGGTGATGGTAGGGACAGTCTTTACAGTCCTTGAAATAAGATAGGGATAGCACGGAGGGGAATCAAGCTTCTAAGTGAAAGCTTCAGTTTATTTGTAAGACGCTTATGCACTCTGAACAGAGGTCCCTCTTTTTTGAGGGGAGTACTTTTCCGGTGATAGTAAGTATAAGATAACATCCTGAACATTTTCTCAACTGCAGTGCACGTTACACAGGAAGCCATAGGCAAATGAATGCTGATTCATGTAACTACACATCCAAGCCTGGAACAGGGAAATTCTGACTATTTTGACAAAAATGCTTTCTTTTCCACTTATTGACGTGCAAATATGGTACACGATGACATTTTTTTATACTTTGAAATGTTTGCTAGCTTACTAAAATTGAAGTTTTACATGTGTTGCCAGTATTTGCATTCTGCTCGGAAATACTTAAAATATAGCAGCATAAAACTAATTGTGTAAGCCACCCGCTCCAGTCTTTCAGGTCACCAAAATAATGTAATTGTAATATGCACCAGTGCTTTTGTATATGTGGCTTTGCAAGTGATACAGGCTTATAGAATGTTTGACACAGTAGTTTCTGTGTGACACATTTCATTAATGCCTTCCTAGAGAGTACATCACAATTTCAGTTTGAGAATAGTCTGTATAAAATACAAATTACTAAGTTATTTATCTTTCATCTCCTAAGGCTTATTAAGCGCAGAGTAGATTATGCCATTTTAGCAAACACTGGAATAAAAGTAGCAGTGGAATGTATGCTAATCAGATATCACTTCTTTCTTGATACTGCAGTTCATCTAAACATATGGATTATAATCTGTTAATAATATTAGTTCCAATGAATTGTTCCATTACTTAATTTGTTTGTTGCAAACCAGTTTCTCAGTGTTGATAGTTCTCTTGTGTTAAATATTTAGCCTGTTATGAATGTTCACTTATTCAAGTAGTTTATAGCCAGTATTCTAATGTCTTATCTATTTATTTTTAAATATGTAGAGAGTATTTTCACACTTGTAAAGCATACACATAAATTGGAAATTGTCCAAGAAAACAGTAAAGGTAGTGTTAAATAACAGACTTTATGGGAGAGTCTATCAGTCACAAACCCTCTGTTTCCACTTTTCTACGTGTACTTGCCAGCTTGTTGCTGAGAGACATTTGTATGCTTTTGCTCATTTTACATAGTACTGAGGACATTAAGATTTACTTGCATAAACAATATGTACACTTTTCACATCTCAAACATTGACAGTGAAGTATTTCTCATTTTAGCAGGCAAAACACCTGAGGATTTTTAACACCCAAACCACGTGGAGCTCTTGTTCAGCACAATTGTTTAGAGAGAAATGTGAAGCAGATGTAGATAAAGGGTTCTGATGGGGCGTATATCAGTTTGTTTCATAGTTCTGCTGTACTTCTGGAACAGAGCCAGTAGCATAATGGTGTGACTGTGGTAGGGAGACTACTTGAAATCTCTAAGACTGCCTTTATTTACTCATTGTCAGTTCCCTTTGTTCTAAGGATACATTAGACAGTGTATAAAATTTTAGAACAAATAAGTGGACACAGCAGAACATACCTGCGCTAAGTTACTGGAGATGAGAGTGTTGCTAATTACCCATTAGTGTAATTAGACTTGGTAACTGATGCTTTCCTATAACTACAATACAGCAGTCAGGAGATAAAGTCTCTACTTACATGACCGACTGGTGTACCCCAGGGAACACAGGTTGTTTTCATTCCCATGATTTGATACTTAATTTTTAAGGTGATGAAATGAATTCTTACATACATTTCAAAATACATCATGTTTGATACAGGACTGTGTAAGAGAACTTAGCTGGAGAAAACTGCAAACAATTTGTATCTCTTCTCCTTCTAATGTCTTTTATATATAGTTTAAAGCAAAATTGTGTATTCAGTAGACTTCTGACTCTTCACAGTCACTATTTTTAGGAGATGTTTAGCAAGTTTAACTCTTATCCTTGTCTTACTTAGCATGGTATTGCTCTGAAATATTCTTTTAGCTTCTCACTTATCAATTCTCTCCTTTTCAGTAAAGTACTACAAATGTTTAAAACACTTAGCATTCCACAGGTCTTAATCACTTGCCAAAAGTTAAAGCTGTACAGAAGTGTTTTACTGAATGGGGATAAGTTTAAGTAAGTGTTTTTCTGGATCACGGATTTAAAATTTGAAACATCCAGGTGCTGCACATTGCCTGTGAGGAGCCTGGATATTGGGATTTCCAGCCAAAGATAATGAAAGCTCAGTGCTTAAGGGGAATCACTTAACAGCTTGGAGAGTTACATACTTAATCATAGATCTCATAATGAATTTTAATTGTAAATACTTGTTTATTTGATCATTTAGTTACAGATATCTTTTTATAATATATACTTCTCCACCTCTTTGTCTCACAGTGCAAAATAGTGTCATAGAAGCAGTTTTATTTCAGTGAAAATTTCAATAATGAGTCCACACATTACCAACCACTCTTTGAAGAACAGGCCTTTTTAACACTCTTTGTATGTTTATATGTTTTGGCCATCATCTTATCTTGGTTTCTTTTTTACTTGCTTTACTAAGAAATGATTATTGGCTCTTTAAAACATTGGCTCTTTAAAACACTTCAGTTATAATACTGTGGGGGTTTTTTTCTTGTTATTTTTTTGAGAGATATTGGTCACTATAAGTGGAACTTATAGAAAGAGTAAATGAATTCCTGTGCAGAATTATTTCTGTACTTGTATATTGGCTTCTTAGCTAACTTAGCTAACTCTAAAAATCCCAATGCCTCTTCTCATTGAAAATGTGCTGCTTCATGAAGAAAAATGTTTATCAAACCAGTGTGCTGACACTCTAAACAAAATTATATGCATTTGCTGTAAAGTCTTCCTTTCCTGAAAGTGAAATACATAGAAATTAATTTCTGAAAAAAAAATCCTTGTTCAGTAGCCAGTTAATTTATTTGATAAAATTTCAAACATTAATCAGTCTACTGCAATATTGCAGAAGTATTTTAACTAGTTGGTTATCATGTATGTCAATTGTTTCTATAAACTAAATGGATCAATTTCCTCATAAACATGCACATATACCCAGCAGCCCTAACAGGACTCCAAATTCATTCATTAAGGAAGCAATCAGTTTAACCATACAGGAGGGCATCATCTTTCCTCTTGTTTATGTACAGACACACACATACACAGAGAGGCTTATCTCAAAAGCTATTTTTTATATTATTCCCAAACACCTCTAAAGAATAAATTTTTTTCACAACTTTAAGCTAAGCAATTACACTACAGTAAAATAATAATAAAAATAACAATGTCATTGTGGCACTGCCATGTCAAAAAAAAAAAATAGAATATTGTTATTGAGTATACACATTTACATTGGTCACTTCTTTCACACATTTAACTTTCATACTGTTTAGTGAAAAGCATACAGAAGTATTTTCAATTTTCTGTTCTCATTTTGCATTATGTTAAATATTTTACAATTAGTTTTCAAAAGTGACCCACATTTCACCTTCAGTAGCAAATTATGATGAGAGAGGGGCTAATTAAACATGAAATGGATGTATCATTGATGCTTTAATTATCTTTATTTAACAGAAAGTGTTCCACTGATAAGTGCGGCTTTTATTTTTTTCCTCTCCAGTAAAATCATCTTGTACAGTGCACAAATGACTAAGTTACCACTGAATCATTCTGCACTCCCAGGAGATGTACAGAGCCAAAAGGGACAGGATCTGAGTAAAGAAGGATACATGCTCTGAATAAGTAAAGAACTGTACTATTATAGGCAAGGGGTAGCAAGAAACATCTTTAAAAGGATAGAATCTGATTTATCAACTCAGACAGCTCTCTGGCGTTACACAAAGTGAACTTGGGTTATAACCATGGTTAGCAGCTT